TGTTTTTATATACTGTATCTTCCTTCTTAATAGTCCCCTCTGTCGGCCAGGTACAGTGGCTCATGCCTGTAATCCCAGCACTTAGGGAGGTTCACGGGGGCAGAGCACAAGGTCAAGAGATCGACACCATCCTGGCCAACATGCTGAAACTCCATCTCTACTAAAAGAACAAAAATTAGCTGGATGTGGTGGCATGCACCTGTAGTCTCAATTACTCGGGAAGCTGAGGCAGGAGAATCACTTGAACCCAGGAGGCAGAGGTTGCAGTGAGCTGAGATCATGCCAGTGCACTCCAGCCTGGTGACATAGCGAGACTCCATCTCAAAAAAATAAAAAAACGTTCCTTCTGTCTTTCTCTTATTTTTCATATTTAGTCCTTTCCCCATCTTTATGGACTTGACAGACCCACATGACAGACATACAAACTGAAGGATAAATGATCGCGTTCCTTGTTTGACTAGTTCACTGTATTCAGTGACATATGTATTAGGCCATAATAAAAGTGATACAAGATATAAAGATATATCAGAAGGAATAGATTTAATTATAGAAACATATGTAGATATAGAAAGGCAGATGTACATGAAAATGTGGTTTCAACTATTTAATTACAACCCAAAACACAAAACATGTCGTCGAAATAAACGTACCTGAAATGGAACATCTAACTAGATACAATATGTTAGTTAGAATGATCTGTAGCCTGTTAGTGGTTTTATCATAGAGCTAGTGATACCAAGGTAAGAGATTCCGGCAACATTATTTTCATATACAAAGATGTGCCAATTTAAAAAGGAGAAAGGCTATATGAAACTGGCCCTAAAGGGAAAATTTGGCTTGCTTGCGGTTAATCTGTGGGAAAATATGATGCGAAAAATGTTCAGAGACAGTATCTGAATGGTTTAAGGAGAATCAAATGAAATGGAGAATAACAATTGCAACTGGGACTGCAGCATTCCTAAGTTTTCTCCTACTACTACACTAAGTGTTTCTTACTAGGAGAAAAGCTGAATGCATCTAAATAATGAGGTACTGCAAGAAAATTCTTAAGAAGGGGAGTAACTGCTAAGAGCCAGGTTACATTTTGTTCACAGCTGTATTCCCAGGATTTAGCACAGTGTCTACTACAAAGTAGGGACTTGACAAATGTTATTTAGCTGAAAGAATGACTAAATAAATGAATAAACAGATGTGGCCCTGGGGAAACCGTGAACTTGTTAAAAGTTTGAGTCTTCTGGAGTAGCACATCCTTACTCTCTCACTCAACCCTGTCACTCTAGAAATCAAGTGAAGGAAATGGAAATCGCATGCCCTGGACATCATCAGGATCCTCCCAAAGTCCACACATGGAAATCTTTCCTTTTCCAGCTAGTAGATGCTGTGTCAGGTCTCTCTGTACGTTCAATTACCTGAGTTTCAAAGTATTTGAGGGAATGACAGAAATCAGGAAAGAGAGAACGAATAGAGAAAAGTGAGTGACAGATTTATCTATGGGGGAGAGGGAAGCTCTATCAGTTTTGTTTTGTTCCCAGTACCATCACAGGGCCTGAAACACATCATAAGATCTTGTTTAAATAGAAATGCAGGACTTCTCAGAGTGACCCTATTTTGAGAGGAAGATAATGCCTAGATTTATCCGTAATATGATGGTGTGTTCAATGACGACTTCTTTATAAGAACACTGGAGATCCTCACGATTCACAGGTCCCTTATTTGAAATTTGCCAACTTACTAAAATTTATTTGGAACCTCAAAATTAATATTCACAGTGTTTTTGTGGATAAACTGCAACCTAACTTAAAAGGCAGACAAGATTGAGAACCTAACTTAGGAGTATGCGCCTGTAACAATTGCTGAGCCTTGGCCAATCCCAGTAGCCATAATACTTCAGCCACTCATACACCACTGAGTGTTCAAACTGTGTTCAAATAAGGCAAACGCTGAGCTCTAACCAATCCAGCTGTTTCTGTACCTCACTTCCGATTTCTGTATGTCACTTTACTTTTTGTGCCTATAAATTTGTTCTGACCATGAGGCACCCCTGGAGTCTTTCTGAATCTGCTGTGATTCTGGGGGCTGTCCAATTCACAAATCCTTCATTGCTCAATTAAACTCCTTTAAATTTAATTTGGCTGAAGTTTTTCTTTTAACAACCCTAAGTGTACTGCTGAAATTCTGCCTAGTGTTCCTTAAGTGTAATGTGGAAAACATACATGATTGATAAGCTTCATTCAAGCATGAGTTATAGTGCTATTGGCCACAAGTTCAATGCTAATGAGTCAAAATATATGTCAGTTAGGGTGTTTTTAAATGGAAGCACACATAAAACACTATTATGCACTGATTGGTTGGCAAAAATGTTGACCAAAGCCTAGCAGAAACGTAATCCTATTTTCCCTGTAGGAACAATGGTTCATTATTCACCAATTCAGTGTTTGAGGTGACTTTATGGAACATAACTACTGCATTGACTGCTATAAGACAGTCAGGCTCTTTCATGACACACTCACTATGGCATAAACTTGTATGTTCTACCAGAATATCACAGATACGATGACTCCTGAGATATGAATAACATTGAACAAGCTACTAAATGAATGAGAACATGAATACATAAAATGAACTAATGAGTTGAAAATATTGTCTACTATTATTTAAGGGGTGAACTGTAAATAATTTTTTATGAACACTAACACCAACCATATATAGATTATAACCTGACATTTAGTTTAATAAGAAATAATTTTCATTTAAGTATAATTTCACTGACATAAAAAATAAGGTAGTGAATAAGCGAAACATTATAAATAGTATTCTCATGATCCTCTGCTAAACCTAGATGTTCATATTACCATCAGGAATAATCATGTTTTCTAAACTAATTTCTTTCTGCTCTTTTGAAGGATTGGTTTATAAACATTCATTTATTCATTCACTCTTTTAAAACATATTAATCAAGTGCCGACTTAAGCCAAGCAGTATTCTAGGGAGTAAGAATACAGCAATGAACAGTCATGCAAAAATTCCTGTCTTCATAGAACTTAAATCTCCAGTGAGGAGAGACAGACAAGAAACAAGTGAGTTATATGATAATAAGTGCTATGAACACAAGACAGACTAGCAGAGAAGGACTGAGGGAATTGGGAAAGGGATTGGAATTTCAAATCAGGTGGTCAGGAAAGGCTACCCTGAGGTGTCATTTGGGGACAAACCCGAAGGAGGTGAGAGCGTAATCATGCAACCTCAGATCACAGTTACAGCCACCGATTTGTCACTGTAACACTAGGGTCACTTCAAGTTACCAAAACCTGATAAGCTTTGTCAAAAAGATTGATTTATTTACTCTAAGATTTTTTGGGGGGGGAAAGTTTTCCAACATCTGAAACCTGTTAATGCATTTGGGATTTGCAATGCAGAATGTAGAGCCACAGCATCAAGCTATGAAATAGTATGTCTTTTCTCTGTAGGTGGCAAGAGAAGGGCACCATAGCCTTGCATATGGAAAGAGTTCTGTTAATTTCACTTCTTTCAAGAGACACTGTCAAATCCTGATGCTGTCATCACACAACATGCATTGATTTCACCACAGTCCCCAAGGAAGAAGTATTTAATAGTCCAGCCAGTGAATGGTACCTAGCCCATAATTTCTAGTTCCCATTCGTGTATTTATATTCTTTAGGCAGCAATGCCCAAGAGAGACATTGCAGAAATAAAGAGAACTATTAATAATGGTTACCTATTTATTTCATTGATACCACAAATGGTATCTAAGGTTAAAAAGTAATTAGAAAAATTTCACATAGAAATAACACTTGATGCATTGTCTGGGCAGGTGGCAGCTGGCAATTTTTTTAAAGATGGCAATAACTAGCTTTGGTTAATGTCGGTCTTCTTTTTGTAACTCTGGGCTCTGGCGAGGAAAAGTGATCCTTCTCCAAAAGGAGAGCTAACAGGGTACATTTTTCATTCATTTTTCTTGAAATTGTTCATGTTTAAGTTTTCGTGATGGGATTTATTATTATTTCTTGGTTAGCTGGAGGGGAGGCCGTTGCATAACATGTCTTGTTCATTTTCTAATTACCTCCTGAAAAGGCAAATACTCCTGAAACAATAAGCTGGTTAATTTAAAAGGCATAGCTAACGAAAATGAAGGGCAACTTTAGACTTATTTTAAAATCTTTAAATGTGCAAATCATACCCTTCGAATCAACTAGTCATCAAATCTCAAAATAAAAAGCAATATTGCCTTGTCTTCATAAAAGGCAGTTTATCTCCTTCTGTATACCATTTTCATCAAACAGTGTTTTCTACTTGTTGGTTTACTCTTTTACTGTGAGAATGTGTTTGATAATGTGTGGTATAAAAATCAAGAAATTAGTCTCACAGCAGGGAGTCTGCTAACAACACTATTTTAATTTTATCCTGCAAGCAGTCACAGAAAACATATTAATTGCAGTTTAATTTATGCAACAAATATTTCATTTTAATTATGCTTAATTTTTGTCAAGCTATAAAAATGTCAATAGTTCTGACATAGTTTTTTCTTATAAGATTTTTTAAATGAAAGAATTAAAATCAAGTGCTGTTTCTAAAAGAAATTATGAAAGATTTCTAATTACTGCTTATGTTTTTGAAAAATTGCTAATCCAGTAGCCCCAAAATAGCATCTGGGAACATGTGAACTTGAAGCTTTCTTACTCAATATTTATAATTCCTAATAGTATACATGCATCATTAATATAATGGAATTCTCACAGGAAAGATTTTTTTTGTGATTATAGGCTATATCAATAACTGTCATTGAATGGTGCATTTTCTCTATAGAAGTGTTTTTGTTAATTCCTCTCAGGAAAATTGAGACAAGACTAAGTGAAACTGATTGCTACTGACACACCACACTGAAGAATATTCACCATTAACAGAAGTAAAAAGAAAAATGTCAAACCACCAAAGCTGAACAGCATTAATTATATTCAGCAAATATTTATTAAGTTCTTAGTAGGTGCAAATCCTTCCCAAACATTAAGTCTCAAGTAAAAATGCTTCTTCCTCCAGGAAATCCTTCTCTCTTCAGATGTAAATTAAATTTCCCTACCCTGAATGCCTATGGTGCATAATCATACCTTTCTCACAGTCCTTTTATATTTTTTTGTTTGGCATCACAGTAATTCCCCCTGCAAGCTTCATCTCATCCACTAGACAGTAAGGTCCCTGGGGGTAGAATTCAGGCTTTTGTGTTTATATCCTACATCTACCACATTCAAATATACATAAAAACGAACACTATATGTATGAATAAAATATTCTGGAGGGGCGACTGGCTTTGTCGGGTGAGCATGTGGAGGTGTTCCTGTGGCTGGACGTGATTGGCGATTCGCAGCATCCTCGTATCTGCTAACAGCTCAAAATGCAGGTCTTCGTGAAGACCCTGACTGACAAGACCATCACCCTTGATGTGGAGCCCAGTGACACCATCGAAAATGTGAAGGCCAATATCCAGGATAAGGAAGGCATCTGCCCCGACCAGCAGAGGCTCATCTTTGCAGGCATGCAGCTGGAAGATGGCCGCACTCTTTCTGACTACAACATCCAGAAAGAATCGACCCTGCACCTGGTCCAGCGTCTGAGAGGTGGCTGTTAATTCTTCAGTCTTGCATTTGCAGTGGCCAGTGATGGCATTACACTGCACCAGAGGCATCTGCCCCCACTTAAGTTTAGAAGTTACAAGTTTCAGTAATAGTTGAACCTGTTCAAAATGTTAATAAAAGTTTTGTTGCATGGTAGCATAAAAAAAATTCTGGATGTTATACTTTTGGAAAAACATTATTTCAAAAGTCCTTCGGTAAAAGTTGTATATACCTGTACTTTGAAATTATTCATTAGAAGAATTCTAGTTTTAGGATGGTGCTGAATTTCTTGCCCTGTCTCATCCTCTCAGAAATGCATCCCACCTTTCTGCATTCAAAAAAACGTGGACAATTGTAAACATCCAGTAAGCTACATATTCATATATTCATTGAAACCAGAAGACAGCAGTGACCCCAAATTATAACTTATATTGGAAAACAGACAGGGAGTGGTACCAGACTTACAAGGAATGAAGAACAGTGACCTGTTCAGAGGGGGACACCAATGACATCCCATCCTATTTTTCCTACTCAAAGCCAGAAACCTCAGGCACTGGAATCTTCAGATATCTCAGAAGGCATAGATGATGCACAGGGCTTGGTTAAAAGCCTGCATTAAAAACACTTACTCTCCAAGCTCCCTCCAGGTTCTAACACTCCAGGAAAATCTTCCTCCCCTTCTCCCCTCAGGTTCAGGAGGTTTATGATCCGGGGAGTTTGGGTGAATGGGTGAGCAGCAGGCACTAGGCACAAGGTATGACATTATACTGAAAATTAAGTGAAAGTATTCATACTGAATGGTGAGAACATCATCCTACTCACCACCTCAATTACCAATTCCCAGAATAGTTGCCCACCTGGCAAGAGATTAGAGAATTTTTTGTTGGAAAAACTGAATGGCCATAGGTAGTGACCCATCCGCAGAAAGTCACTTCTACAGTGAAAACCACCAGTCAACCTGGCTCAGGCAGGACAAGGAATTCAACTAACATTTCTGTGCCTTATTTTAAAGTATGAATAAAACAGCAAAAGATCAACAGATGTCTGAGGAAAGCATCTAACATAAAAGATAGAGAGAGAGATAAGTAAACAAACAAAAAACCAATTTAGATGAAGTTGAGATGATGCAAAAAGCAGAATAAAGCATCACTAAAATCTAAAATAAACTTTCTGAGAGACATCAGAAAGGATATTGCATCCATTAAACAAGTGCAAGCTGCTATTTTAAAAAGAGAAAAGCTTTAGTGAAGTAAAAATATGAGAGCAGAAAACGTAAGTTGACAGAAAAACTGGAATTTAATGCCAAAGAACTCTTTTAGAAAGTAAAACAAAAAGACAATAAAATGGAAATAGGAGATATAAAATTCAAAAAGAAGTTGAAGAGCAATTAGAGAATTTGATTTCTGACTGTAGGAGCTCCAGTAAAAAGGATCTGAGAAAACAAAGAAAAAAGAATTAGTAAAGAAATAATGCAAAGAAAATTTTTTATAAAGCAGAATGACAGATAACAATGGCTTAAAACTTTTAACATACAATTACACATCAAAACAATTTATCAATTACGTGTAGGATGAAATTTTCAGACAGAAAGATTATATTGAAAGATTTTTACAGGGTGTGGAGAAACTTCAACAAGAGATGTGAAGAAAATTAAGCAAAGGGAGAAAAAGTTAAGTAATAACTCCACGGAATATAAAAAGTTACGCAGAAGAAACATCATCATGGAACACTTATTGGTTTAATAAGAAACAATCTTTACATAGTAAAAAAAAGTAAGAGCTGAATATTTGCTTACTCAAGACATATATTCTAAGAAAACATGGAGATGATAGCATAAGAGAGCTAAATCCTCATCTACCATAGTTGAAGGTCAATGCCTAACACAGAAATTGATAAATCAAGAGATAGCCTATTACTTGGAAGGTCAAAGAGCTGAAAGTGGTGGCCTCTGAAAAGGAGGACTGACATGTAGGGAAAGAGTGAGTTAGCAGTCTGCCACTTTTCATTACAAATCTTTGAACATATTTCTGTTTATGTATGTTTTTAACTTTTATATCAATAAAGTAAAAAATAAGTGCACCAAATATTTACTGTTCTTAGAATTATATTTCCTTTCTACTTGGACACTTACTTATCAACTGTATTCCTCTTGGTAATTTATATCCTTTTTTTTTTTTTTTTTTTTTGTGAGACAGGGTCTCACTCTGTTGCACAGGCTGGAGAGCAGTAGTATGATCGATCAAGGCTTACTGCAGCCTCAACTTCCCATGCTCAAACAATTCTTCCACCTCAGCCTCCACATAGCTAGGACTATAGGTGTGTGCCACCATGTCCAACTAATTTTTTAATTTTTTGTAGGGATGGGGTCTCACTGTGTTGCCCAAGCTGGTCTTAAACTGCTGGGTTCAAGCGATCTGCTTGCCGCTGCCTCCCAATGTGCTGGAATTACTGGCATGAACCACCACATTTGGCCTGATGTTCTATTTTTAAAGTCATTTATACAAATATGTAGTTACATTTATCTTACATACCTAGATATGTGGTTTCTCTTGTGTTATTAATTATTACCCACATCTGAACATTTTTACATTTCCCATAAGCAAGTCTAGATATTAAAAGATATTAGAATGCAGATAAGATAGCCAACAGAAATTAGTATACTTTAGAATACTAACCCCCTCTACAAGCTTTGGGAAAATTATGTACACATTTACTAATCTATGCACAATATTTAATGTCTATATTTCAACCAAAATTATTCTAAAAGCTCTATTTTCTGAACCAGTGTCCTTTCCCCCAACTAAATCAAATTAAGAAAGCAACGTGAATTTCCTCACAAACTATTCCATACTTGGATGCCCTTGAACTTTACTGAATCTGAAATAAAAGACATGTGTAGGTAAGCTTTGGTTTTCAAACTTAAGGAATGTCTATTTGCTATTACCATTCAAAGCACACATAAATATAGCTAATTTATTTAGACTTTATAAATGAAAGTCAACTGCAAGAATACTGATTTAATACATACAAAAAATTAGTCTTAATATTTAATACGTTATTTCATTATTATCTTTGAACAATATCAAAATTAAAGATTGAGAGGATAGAATAGAACAATTTAAATGATTGTTGCCTCCTTAAAACTCTGTGATAGACATAGTCACACAATTCAGTAGAAAAATAATTTCTTGAATAAAGTGAAATTCAACTGTGTATGTATTGTCTTGACTTACACTACTTTTGTTCTGCGAATAAGAATTTATCAGAAATAAAATAATGAGCAAGTATATTTTTGCTGACCAATGTATAATAACTGCTAATTAGTTGATATTGCTTTTTAAATTACACTTGTAAAACTAAATAATTAATGTTATATTCTTAGTAAATGAATTACATGTAAGTTGCTACACTTCAGAAACTTTGACCTGTTAAGTAAATTAACCACTCTTATAATGTTGCTTACACTATTACCTTATTTAATAAAGCCCTTTTTATAAAAACATAAAAGTAATTCAGTAAAAGAATAAATAAATCAGGTACAAAGTAGCAAGTATATATAACATGAAGTTCTGATGTGGACAGGCAAAAATAGTTTACTAGAGCATTAACATGTTCTTCTATCCATTAGCAGCTTGAAGATAAACATGACTTACTAGAAGGAAACGTCTTTCAATTAACTTTGATAGGTTAAAAGGGCTTGAAAGGAATCAAAATCCCCCACAGGTAATTCATAGCATCTTTATTAACAAATAAGAGGTAGAATGTTCTTGACTTTATCTAATTTTACTAAGTAAAATTTCAACAAATATATATTCACTTAAGAAAGGAAAAGACATATGAGTTGTTTCATATTGAAATCGCATTGAAATTCTACTTTATCATGAACATATTAATATGCTAGACTGAAATAATTATGAGCTGTAGATTTCTTTTATGAAAACATTCTTTAGCAATGTAGGTTAGGATATTAATCCATAATGCTTTACATATCCCTTATGTAGACATATTTTTACCTAACATAAATTACAATATAGGTGTTAACTACCATTAGTAATATATCTAGAATCCCATTAGTTTCCAAGAGCTTGGATATTAATGGTAAAGTATTTTAATTAGTTTTGTCTGCTCTCCAACTATATGGGTAGGGCCTATCCAAATTTTCAAAACTGTTAATCTGTTAATGTGATTTAGTATATATTTCCTCACAATGTTCCATTAAGTTCTTTTCTATCCTACAGGCTAGTTAATTGGCCTAGCAGAAGAATTTTCGCTTCCAAGAAATTTTATATTAATGTTCAGACCCTTAGGAACACTCTTCCATCTTTAATAAGTACATGGAAGAACTGGCAGAGGAGAGTGGGGGGAAATTGTAAACAACTATTACTAATGTCTATGTGCTTATGGGTAGAACTCAAAAAGTGATCAAATAATTATTTCCATCAGAGGATCTGGTTAATTATACCAGCACGTCTTTTGATGCTTTACAATGGAAGATAATTCTTAGTCTAAGTAAACTGCTCTGGAACTTCTCCTTACTTTCTCTTTTTTAAATCCCACCATAAGCATTTAAAATTGAATTTCTTTTAGGGGACTTTTTTTTTTAAGAGAAATTTTAATATATTCAAGAAAGTTCAGGATAATGAACGAAAAACATAAAATTGCTGAGCTGCAAAAACCAAGCAGTAGGCTGGGTTTCATACAGGTCAACTAACCCATTCTCACAGAGACTCACTGCATGCAGGGTCTCTGTGCCACACAGAAAGAGCTGTAAAGGCAGTACCAGTGAGAACTATAATTTTCCATCTCTTCCATCAATTATTAGTGTTGGAGAAGTAGGAAATGGGGCAAGTGAGTTGGGCTGCCTTCCACCTGGAGCCTAGAAAGAGGCTTCGATCCAAAGAGACAGAAGGACTAAAACCACAGGCCTTCTATGTTGGCAAATAGTGAATGCATCTAGTGCTCTTAAAATAGGAGAGGGATAAGAGGGAAAAAATTACATAGGCCTATGGAAGAAAAATAGGCCCACATGTTAAAAGACATGGATAAAAATCAGGCACTGAAAGTCATCCTCTGCAGGAACCTAAAGAAAAGTTAAGTGTTAGAGAATATTTGCCAGGTTCAATCAACTTATGAAAACAGAGTCAAAGACTAAAGAA